GTCATGGCGGCCCCGGGGACCCACGGAGGGTCGCCGTCACCTCCGCGCCGGGTGAGCCCGGGGCTACTCCCGGGGCAGGTTTCCGCCGGCTCAGGTGAGTTCGTGCCCCGGCCCCGCCTCCGCCTCCGGCCCCCGCACAGGTGCGTCTCAGTTCCAGGTTCTTCGTGCTGTGACCGGACCCCTCAGTTCCGCCTCGGCCAAGGTGATGCGGCCGGCTCCGCCCCTGCTGGTAATCCGGAGTCGCGCCCCGCCTCTTCGGAGGTGAGCTGGGCGGGCTCACCTGGCCGGCTCCGGGCTCTTTTCCTCTCGATCCAGGTGGGTCCGGACGCCAGCTCCTCCTCCCCGAGGTGAATGGCGGCCCAGGCTGCCTCTGGGTGGCTCATACCTTGCTCAGGTAACTCCTTCCCTTCCGCCTTCCAAGTAACTAGAGTGCCTGGGCCAGTCTTGACCGACATGGTAGGAGCTGCAACCTTCAGCACAAAGTTCCACTGAGCGTGCATCCTGGAGACTTGAAGATTTCATATAATTAATCCTCTTTTATCTGAACGGAAATAAAAGCGTCTCTAGACCCTCTTGTCTTTGTAGATTCACTTATGAAACCCCTTTCAGTCAACTCAGCCACAAATTGTAATGCCCGAGGGGATTGCATTATGGTAAATCTGTTCCGTATTCAATGTCTGCATTTAAATTCTAGCATATACTTTTTAAGGGAAAATGATTTTCCGGCCAGGTGCCCCAATCTGGCTGTATAACTAAGAAAAGTGGAAAGTTCTTCTCTAAAAATAAAATGAGACTTAAAAAAAGAGAATCAAAGAAGGCAAGAGGTTCAGAGCCTTTAAATGTCTCCCTAGCTAGTGGAAAAACCACACAAGGAGAAAAATGCACTGGAATCCTTGTGATTTTTTTTTCTTTTTCAGAATATTTCCATGACTGGAAAAAGGCTGGATCCAAAGTCCCCAAAGACCCAGCTGCTGTCCACAGTCAAAGATGTTGGGACTGTTTGGCTTAAGGAGGAACTACAAGGATTTATAGGACTTAGGGCAAAGAAAACCCAAATTAGGTCTGAACATTGCTTGGGATTCTGGCTTTTATATCTCAGTTGGTACAGTATACACAAGGGGGTATCAGATCAATTCAAGTTGGTGCTAAATCCTCCTTAGGTATTCATTCAGGTGTTCCTGCCTCTCCTCCAGCTCATAAAATACAAATTAATTAAATAATTTCTATATTATACTTCTGCACCTAGAATAATACATTACATTCAGCAGTTATTCAAAGCCCATTGAAATTTGGGAGGTTAAAATACTTGCTTAATTAAACAACAGGTTTTTTTTTTTTTTAGCATCTTCCATGTGTCACCCCTATGCTAAGCAATGTAGAAGACAGAAGAGAATTAGACTGAAAAGGACCCTTGAGCTCAAGGGATTTGCAATCTGACAAGGGTCATATTACTTATAAGTAGGAAAGAATCACCATTGCCAATAGACGGCATGTACTCAAGTACCAAATTATACTCTGTAAGAATGATACCAAAGTTAAAAAGTAATATTATTATAATAATGGAAAAGTCATTCCATCTCATTGAATGGAATGAGTGCAGGTTGAAAACTTCAGCTGTTCAAGAACACTAGGGAGACCCAGATGACCTGAATTCCACTTCCCCTCACTTCTAATCCTACCTCAAGAGAGGAAATCCCAGCATTGTCCATAGGTTCCTATACTGTGAGCCAGTCTCCACTACACCTTTTTTTCAACAGGTAAAAGAGTAAACAGTTCTCTGTATCATTTTCGTGGCTTCCACTCACCCCTATATCATTGAGTCATCAGGTGGCTTGATATTTGAGTCCACAAATCTAGTCTCTAGGAAGGAATTCAGTTCCCCCAACTTAATCTAGTGGATTTTAAGTCTAACAACTGCCCTGCCACCACTTTTCTGAAGCCCTTCTGTGGAGCTGAGAGCCTTGCCAGCTCTGCTCTCCCTGGATGACCTGAAGGCATCCATTTATTCATTCCAATAACTAAGGTAACACTAGAGTGTTCCGAAGCAGAGAATATATCAAGACAGGGAATGGTCAACAGGGTAAAACCCAGCTGAGGGTTCAGTGAGGTAAGAGGTGAATTTGTGGGAACAATTTGGGTGGTGGGATGGGAGGAGTCTGGCTTTCTCTGGGGAGGGAAAGAGGACAGGGAAACAGCCAGAGTAGGACAACACTCCTTTTAGAAGTGGGGGGGGGGGGGAGAAAGGCAAGTCGTCATCATTTAGAAGAGCATGTATCCCAAGGGAAAGGCTTGTTTATAGATGACAGCTAGGGTTTATTCTGGGGGGAAAAGATAACAGCTCAGGAAGATTGAAGAGAGGAGCAAGAAGCTCGTGGATGGTACAAAGGCAGGAGTAGTCAGGAGGCACTGGGTCCAGAGGGCAGGTGCAGGGTCAGCTCATCTCTGAACCTGGAGGGCAGGGAGTAAAGATGGATGCAGAATGCAACTGGGCTTTGGGCTCGGCTCAAGTGGAGACTATTTTAATGTAAGAATTTCTTCCTGTGCAGTAAAAGGCATTGGGGGAGGGAAGAGAAAGCATAAGATCAGGGAAGGCTGCAAAGAGGAGGAGAGGGAACTAGCCGGGGATACATGAAGGGATGCTGGATGGCTTCGTCTAGGAGAGTCCTGTAACCCAGGCTAGGAGAAGGCAGGTGATCGGATGTATGCAATGCATGAGGGCTTTCAGCACAGGTGAACTGCAGATAAAGGTTTAGGACACTGCACTTATTGTGGGGGGCGTGGCTGAAGTGATAGGCCTTAGTATTTAAGCAGAAAAGTGAAGAAAATGGAGCAAAGCTGGGGAGTCAAAAGAAAGCGTGGGGACTAGCAGACTGGCAGTCCTAACTGTGTTAACGAGTAGGTGGCCTGAAAGCTGGGAGGGGAAAAATCCTGGTGTGTGATGGGATGTTAGAGATTTTGCAGGTGGAGCAGTGCCAAGATCCATGTATATGTCATATTTTCCCTACCAGCTTCTACGTTCCAAGAGGTCAAGGACTGGTATAAATTGCTGTGTCCCTCAGAGTTCAGTGCATAACAAGGGCTCTGACTTCATGTCTTTCATTTGGTTATATGTTATCGTGATGCATGAAAGGACACTTGGTTCATGTAAACTCTTCCCAGTCCTAACAAAGAAATGGGTTCATTCTAAACAATTCTTTATTGCATTTCTTTATTATGAAGAGAACTCAAAATGAACGAAAAAGGCATTCCCAACCCCAATACTCCTAAAAATTACTTTATTTTCCATTTTATTTTCTGGATTTTATCCATAGAATTATTTAATTTTTAATTGATTATAATTATATCAAAAATATAATTATTATCATTCTCTGTGTTCAATTACCTCCTTATGGAATGATATGAAGAATAAAATAAATATTTTTCTGTTTTTTCATAATTTTTAAAATAGTTCCAAAATTCATAGGTCTGCCATATTTAACTACTGTCTTGTTGTTGGGCATGCAGATTATTTCAAGTTTTTCAGTATTCCAAAGAATATGGTAGTAGATATCTTTTTGCTTATAACCTTCTATTTTATATTACTTCCTTAGGATAAATTTCTAAAAGTAGGAAAGGGGCTTAAAAGTCAAACCTGTTAAAGATACATACTGCTAGAGTCTTTAGTGCTGCCACAACATTGTATACTTTGCTACACTCACCAAAATTTTGCCTCCAAAATCAATTGTTAACCACAGAATATATTTAGTCTGTGCTAATAAACTATCTGATACTAGGAGAAGCAGTATAGGATAGGGGGAAAAATTGCCTAACATTAAGGAAGTCCAAGTTCTACTCTAAAGTTCATCAAGAAATAGCTATGTGACCTTTGTTAAATTGCTTAACTTCTCTGATCTCCTGATTGCTTACCTGTATGTGAGTGTTTGCCAAAATGATGGTATCTCTTTCAATGCAAAGATATTTGTTCCTAATCATCCCAAGAGGTCTTCCTCGCACAGACTCATTGAGTAGATAGTGAACATTTCTTGAGGACCTACTGTGGGCCAGTCACTCTGTAGGCACTTCATATATAGTATCTCATTCACACCTCGAACCTAGGTGGTAGGTACTACTATTATAATACCCATCGAACTGATGCAGGATCTAGGCTAAGGAAATGGAGGCTGGCCAAGTTCTTACAGAGGTAAGTGGGAGACTGGGGAGTCTAAGGGATACTAAATTCCAGCGTCCTACATTTCCAGTCACCACACTGTAATGCCTGGGCATACTTCCTTTTAAAAGAACCCCAAAGACTTGAACCAGTTTTTAGTGTTGCAGGTCTTTTATACCCCAAAGATAAGAAAATTCTGTCCATTTATGCATAGTCCCAGGTCATCTGAGTTGCCTTATTTTTGTTGAACAAAAGCTTTTGTTTGGAAGCCAACTTTTGTTCAGCATGTCTATTTCTCTTGCTAAAGTAAAAATAACTTCACTTGTCTGGCTGACTCAGCTTTTGCATTTATTTCACTTAATTCACGACTATTTATCTTGCCGTAATAGAGCCAAGGGTTTTTAATTGGCATTCCCTTATATAAGTTTATACTGTGCAGAATTGTTACATATTACTCTGCCCATGGGGCAGCTTTTATTTAAAAGGAATCAAATTAAAGTGCTTCATAAAATTACAGCATGTGTTCAGAAAAGTTTGAAAAAATCCACTGTGCCTGGACTTCATTTTTCATTAAGAACTGTATTCAGCAGACTTCCTGTTTTAAAAATTATGGGGTGGTACCCCCTAGTGGAAGATGCAGAGAAACTTCAGTGAATGAATACTGTAAGCACTGGAGGCAGAAAAGACAGACAGGAATTCTTTCCACTCCTTGCTGCAGTAAGTCATTAACTTACTGGGAAACAGTGGAGGTCAATTGTGAGCAGAGTTGGGTAAGCTGAGCTGCAGAGGGCAGTATAAAATGAACAATGGGACTGAGATAGGTGACAATAGGTCTTAGGTAGCCTGGGCGTTCACTATGGAATGGCCAGGTTAGGAGACTAGCCAAGTCAGCAGGGATGGAATTGGACTTGAACTGTGTGCATAGAGTTTGGTTGTAGGAATTGTGCTTGGTGAGTTGGCAGGAGAGGGACCCAAAATATCAGGAGGACAAGTTGGATGACAGAGCTGAGATGGAGGGTAAGGAAGGGCTTTGTAACTAGAAATAAGAAAGAGTTAAATCAAAACTGAATTGGGCTATCCAGGGTGAAAGGTGAGAGGGACGTATGCCAGGGTGAGGACGGGAAGGGGGGGGGCGCCTACAGAGCAGTGTCTATGGAACCAGCCCGTCTGTTGAGGCTAGAGCCCACCCTCCCCTGCCATCCCCACCTCCCTGCCGGAGTGGAATTCACTGGTTTGGGGCTGGCCCCGCCGAGAAGTGTAGTATACACGCTGGCTTTGCCTTTCACACAGTGACAGTATCTAGTTGAAACTCAGGAATTCCTCACTATGTATTAGGAGTGAATAGCTAAACAT